CAAGATAAGGATAAAGCTCTTAGGGAGTTTATCTTTATCTCTTGAGGAATCCAAAGTAAGCACTGAATTGGAGTCCATAGAAGTCATGCTTCTAGTGGGACTTGGATTGAGTTAACTATAAAAGAGAGGCACCCCCGTGAGTCTAAGGTACGCAATTTATGTTTTGAGCAATAAGTTTGGCAATTGATTATCTTTGAGAGATATACTGACTTGATCGTCGGAGTGCCCCCGGGTGAAAGAACCACCGCCGGAGCCTTTTCTTTCTATTACGGATTAGCTGAAGCCATCTATTCTGCCGGTGCTCTCCAGTTGATTACTAAGCGGGCAGTGTGGTCAGATTTTTACCCACACACATACCTAGTATGATCATTTTGGTTACGAAAGAAAACAACCATCAAAACAATACAAGCCAATTTCACCAACATTGATGAAGGTCCCACTAGCAAACCAGTGAGATAAGTTTGCATCGACAATCGCACCACCCTCATCCTCCGCTCTTTCACATACTGATCCATTGCTTCTCCAACTTTATGCATCATCATCTGACTTCGGCTTTGGATTTGATCGACTTCACTAAGTTTCTGATACAAACATCTAGCGAGAACAATAGCATCTTCCAAACCTGCCGAACCACCTTGTCCAAGGAATGGACCCATAACATGCATTGCATCCCCAGCTACTGTTACTGTTCCTTTTCGAAAATTTCCCAATAGCAAGTCCCATGGAGCACGATATCTCAAGCGCGTGAGAGATAATGATTCTACGTCACTGTCTTCAATCATTTGTTGAATTTCAGGTGGGAAACCATCGATTAAGGGTAGGGTTGACTGTCTAATAAGGTCTGGATTTTGTAACGCCCTGACATCTGTTCATGTGCAGGTAAACAACATAAAAACAAAAAACAAAAAAAGAAAGAGCATACTGTCGGTAGACTGACTTGCGCACATGTGCACATCCTATGCTATTTATAATCACACAGAGAAAGCAACTAGCAAATTAAATCAAATGTCTTAGAATATACTATTACCTTTAGGAGTGGATTGTTGACCCACCATCCAGTTGACTGACTTATCATCAATTGGAACTCTTCCTACCATAATGTTGTTCCTTCTCATTCGGACAAATTCATGGGCAAATGCATGACCAGTTGGATACTTCGTCAAACCTCTCACAGTAGACAGGGGAAATGCTTTTGGGGGTTTTAACTCGAGGAAGTCAGCTACCACCGAATTTGCTCCATCACATCCAATCAAAACCTGCAAGATTAGTAACTTTCCTCTCAAATTGTTTTTAGTTCACTATTGTCAATATTAGTGTTTCATCTTCTTAAAACTAAAATTAGCTGATAATTCAAATTCACATGTTGATTTGTTAGGTGCACCTGATGAATTAATGGACCAGACAATTTATCTATAAAAGAAAAGAGTGTGCATGAGAAATAAAGTGATTTAAACTTTTTTTTTTTTTGGAAAATCAGAAAAAGTGGTCGGCTGACCAGCAAGCAAACCGACAACTTTTTTTGGTCGGTGGCCTTCTTGCAGATTTTGCAAAGTCTGTGCATGCTAGTTGTGCCAGCTGGAGGGCACAGACTGTATCCTCCATACACGTGTATGGAGGGATTTAAACCAGCTCTTAGCTTGTCCAAGAAGCTTGAGAGTTGTTTCTTTACAAAAGGGGAGGCATCTCTCCCTTCTTAGGGTTCAGATTTTTGGGCTTGAGCTATACATATCATCTATATCTATAATCCTCCATTTTCCTCTTATTTTGTACCTTAAAGTGACCATTCTTCACACTTTTGTGCACACAACCTCCTATCCAAACATCATCCTTTTGTTGCTGAGGCACCTAGGAGTTTTTGTTTGTGTCTAAGTGCATTACTTGTCAACAAGTGAAGGCCGAGCATCAGAGGCCAGCTGGTTTACTTTGTTGTTATGCCCATGAAGGGTTTT